CAAGAACCATATGATTTCACTCATATGTGGGATATAAAACTGAAAGCAACAAATGAACAAACAAGAAAAAACCTCATAGGTGCAGACAACAGTGTGGTGGTTACCAGAGGGAAAGGGTGTGGACAGGGAGTCAAGGGTAAGAGGGACAAATATATGGTAACACAAGAAGATTTGACTTTGGGTGGTAAACACTCAATGCGGTATACAGATGATGTATCATAGAAATGTACACTTGAAACCTATATAATGTTATTAACCAAAGTCACCCCAACAAATCTAACTTAAAACAATAGCTAAAACAGAAGGTCCCATTACAGAAATTCCAAAGTTTCTACATTTACATAAACCATATTACAGTAGAAAACAACATATAAAAATGTGCTTTAATTATAGTAGAAATTCTAAAACTGATGAATCTATATAATAAAAGCCTAATATGCAAATTATCCCCTGGACTGATAGTTAGACTGTTTGCTATGATGTGCACTGACCACCAGGGAGCATCGCAGAACATGGTGGGCATCAAGGACACTGTGCTGGCAGTAGGCAGCAGTGGAGGTGCTGCCAGCCCCAATGGGCCCCGTCGAGAGAAGGACTGTGGTGGGATAGTAGAGCAGGTGAGCGGATGGCACCAGGCCAAGGCAGGTGCAAGAGGAGCTGATCACCCAGCTGGTCATCCTGTAGATGATGACCAGTGGCGGTGGTGGCAGGTCCAGGCCTGCCCCCTGGCTCCCAGGCGCTGAGGGAGCCGGGCGGGGCCTGATGACTCAGGCAGAGGGGGGTGCACAGGGGTCTGGGGGCCCAGGTGCTGCCCAGGGCCCAGAGGTCAGCTGGAACCTGCACTTCTACACCAGACGCTCATGCTTCGATCCCCAGCCAGGCCTAGGGACTGCATCCGTGTACTATTTTTGTGCACCCGGCCTCTAGTTCTGTGATAATTGTCTTGCATTTGAGAGTGTTCACAATTTTACCTTTTTCATTTTTAATGGGATTGTTTAGTGTGGAGTTGTATGAATTCTTTATATATCTTGGATGTTATCTCATTGTCAGAGCTTTATTTGAAAATGCCTCCTCCTATTCCATTCTGTAGGTTGCTTTCTAGTCTTGTTGATGGTTTCTTTAGCTGTGCAGAAGCTTTATTGTTTGATACATTAGTTTTGCACTATTTTAAAGAAAATAATCTGATTGCATTCCCAAAAACATGGTATTAGTTTGTAAGTACTGCTACTATACTGTAACAAAGTATCACATAATGAGTTGCATAAACAATAGCAGTTTATTGTGTAATAGTGTGGAAGCTAGAAGTCTGAGATCAAAGTGTCCGCAAGGCCATGCTCCCTCTGCAGGTGCTAGGGAATGATCAGCTCCAGGCCTCCATCCTCGCTATTGGTGATTTGACAGTGATCTTGGATGTTCCTTGGCTTATAGCAGCAAAACTCCAGTCTTCTCATGGCATTCACCCTGTGCATGTCTATGTCCAAATATACCTTTTTATAAGGACACCAATCATATTGAATAAGAAACCCTCTCTACTCCATCTTATCTAGTTACTCCTGCAAAGACCCTGTCACATTCTGGGGTCCTAGAGGTCAGCACAGCAGCACATGACTTTTTGGTGGTGGTGACGGAGACATAGTTCAACCACTAACCTATAGTATACTGAGAAGGAAATGAGAATCAGGGGGGGAACTTAGTTTTTAGATAATTGTTTTGAGAGGTTTGATTATAAAAGACAGAAGAATTAATAGAAGGATATAGAGTTGATGGGTAAATGCTTTGTTTTGATTTTTAGATGGGCGAGATTTTGAAAATGTTAAGGTTCTTTGGGAGAAACATCTAATAGAATGGCTGCAGGGACTAACAGATGGTACAGTACCAGAGGGGACAGTAAGGAATCGATGGAGAGAATAGATGGGTTGTTCTCTGGAAAGTAAGAAGAATACTTACCTCAATACAGGGTGGGGCCAAAGTAGGTTTACAGTGGTTTGTTAAATATTACAATAATTAATAAATAATACAAGAATAAACTGTTTCGTATACTCACAACTGTAAACCTACTTTGGCCCCACCCTGTATAACAATGAGGGAGGAGTCATGGAGACGTGCAGATTCAGTTAGGTTTGTTATATTTATTTTTGCAAAGATGAGACAATTTCTTTCTACTTGATTCTTATTATTACTATTATTTTTTTAAAAGTGGGAACAGAATTAGGTGGATAAAGAGCTGTAAGTTTAAAGTAAGGAGAATTTTTAATGAAATTGACTGTGTAAAAACAAAGAAATGCTGGAGAAGATTGAGGATGACCAGATATTGCTGAAGCCCAAGGTGGGGCAGGTGACTACATTTGTACAGAGGAACCCATTTGCTCATGTGTGAGAATTTCTATAACATATTAAGTTGACAGAATGAAAAACTGACAATTAAATTCATCCATATTTGCGGTTTTGTGAAGCTTATATGAAGGATGGACAATGCGGCCAGAGATTTTTCACTTATTTGCCAGAGAATACTGAAAATTGTACACCATGGTCCCTAAGGGTAGGAAGTGATTCGGGAGTGATGATGACTCAGTAGAAACTGAGAGCCCTAAAGAGACCTACACACTGGAGGAATAGGAGGAGCTAAGTAACCAGCACAGAATGCTACATTTTCTGTTTCACCTGATTATTCAACCTGGATGCCATGTGCTGCCACTCATAAAGGGAGGGTGCACCAGTTAGAAGTAGAGCCCACCACGAATTACAAATGTCCAACATATAAATGGCTTAAAGATATAAAAGTTTATTTCTCACTGAAAACAAGTCAGGAATTGAGCAATAGATAAGTTTTGACATTGTCACAAACCCAAGCTCATTCTGTCTTCTCTGCCGTCCTATCATTGACATGGTCAGAGATGGCCTTAGAGTTCCATCCATCATGCCACATTATGGCCATCAGTAAGCAAAGACAACAAGAAGAGCACACATTTTCCCTTTAAGGACACATCCTAGAAATCACAGTACTTCAGCTTACAATGCCTTGGTCATTATTCAGTCACATTCAGCAGGGGAGGCTAGACAATATAATGTTTATACTAGGCTGCCATAGGGCATAGTAATAATTAGAAGAAACTATAACTAATGAAAGATGGCAAAATTGATATGGGGGACTTATAATCTGACAGATAGAGCACCTGAATTAATCTGAAAGATAACCATGTTGTTTTGAAATTCTGAAATACATATACATATAGGAATAGAGTGTTAAGTTTCTTATATGGGAAAGGAGAGTTAAGTTTTTTCTTTTCTATTTTAGTTTCTCAGGCCAGTGCACTTGTATACTCCCTTTGATCCCAAATAAGGTGATGGAGGAGGTGATTTAGCTGCGGTCAATGTATACTGTACCCAGCAAGCAAGTAAAACCATTAAGCATGATGCAACCATCAGTCTGTGTGCCAGATCTTTATCTTGAGAATGAACCATTAAGGTAGAAAAAACTAATTTGTGGCTGCTGGGAGAATTGTGATCATCTTTCGGGCCCAATGTCATCATTACTCAGGGAAGGGTTCGCCTATGAATTACATCAGCCTCTTCTCCTCCACATCGACGATGCTCAAGGGCCCTGAGCCAGAGGACCAAAGTCTGAAAAGTGGTCTTAGGACACCATTAAATGTGTTCTTGGGAAAGGTGAAAATACGGGACCCATCTGTCATGTTACAGAAAGATAGTTCTCCAGCCTCATAATCCAGGAATATCCCCACATTAAGGGGTCTTTCTCTTAGAGTAAGAGGAGTTTCTGGGGAGGTGAGAGCCCAGTATTCCCCGTCATAGAGCCTGATGGCCCAGAAACCATTCTGTGGGGACATTGTGACCCTCCCCTTCCTTTTTACAGTATCCCTACAAATTCCCAGGTCCCAGGACTGCATGTCCCCAACCTCTACCTCCCAGTAGCATTTCCCTGAGCTGACGCCCTGCTGACCCAGCACACAGGGAAGGGAGTCAAATCTCTGTGTGGAGTCGGGTAGATCCTGACAAGGCTCTTGCCAGGTTACTCGCTTCCCATCTTCAGACAGGAGGAGGGCAGGATGGGCAGTGGCTGCATCCAGGATCACATTTACTGCAAAGACAAATGGACCATCATGTTTCCTGGAAAAGTCTCAGTTGCCTGGGTCAGGGGGTGCCCATTCTGTGAGGGCTTCTCTGGTTCTGGGCAGACCCAGCGCTCCTCCACTCATCTTCCCCTGACAGCACCTCCAAAGGAGCAGGGTCCCTCTGTACCACCACACACTCACCAGCTTTCGATCCTTCTTTCTTCCAAGCTGCAAGA